TACTTCTCGTCTGGGTTCTGTTTCTCACCTAGAAATTCTCAAGAAATATATCAAGATTAGACTGGAAATTAAAACTGAAATTTCACGCTTTTTTATGCGCTATCAAGCAGGTAGATGTTACAACCAACCAGTTGGCAAGAATACCCTTTCTATACTTCCTAATAAGATTGCACAGTTTTTGAAACTAGAACATCCTGAAACATATAAAGGCCATCCATTCCGAAGAACATCGGCAACGTTACTGGCTAATACAGGAGTTGATGTATTAGTAATCAAGAGACATGGTGGGTAGAAATCAGCCACAATTGCAGAAAGTTATGTTGCTGACAGTTTAAGTAACAAAAATGAAATAGCCAACAGGATTTTTTACAATGGCACTTCAACTCCAGGTTATAGTAGCATAGTGGGAGCAGATAAAAGGTATATTTACCTTAACTGGCCAATTTTAACATTTCATGTCATGAAATAATATGTATTGGTGTACAGACAATTCAACAATTGGTGTTTCGAAATAAGGGAAGAATCTTGGAAGAAAATGGCTTTTGTTGGTGTCGTTTAACATGTACATTGGAATTGATAGTCACACATGTTTTGTCATTTAAATTACAGATTTGTTCTCTTCAGTAATTAGATTGTATCAAAAAATACTATTACTTTGAAGTCAAATTTGTTATTTTCTTTCCAAATTTAAAATATTAGATTTCGTTCCATTTTTGGATTTTTTTATTTATGTTTATAACTACCATATTTACTGCTAATGCACGTACTTCTCTACATTTAGTGTTATTTTTTTAATAAATATCTTTTTGTTACTTTCTATAGTCTGTTACAATTGCACCTTGACATTTTACAAATGAGCTCGATGTCATTTGTAACAATTGCCAGTACTAGTCAGTATAAACTCTTTTAACAAACTTCTTTCACTTAACTGTATGCTCTCAGATGATTAGTGTCGTTTCTGTTGCAATATATACCCTTAATTAAACAATGAAACAAGAATCAGAAATAAAATGGGATGAAACCTTCAGAATTTCGTACCTGTCAGGTTCATAGTCTTTATCCACCTCCCTGTAGGCTGCTGTGGGCACAAATGTCTTCACTGTTTCGCCAAATCCTCTCTCCTGAAGGTGCCTCACTTGTTCTGACGACAGCTGGGTATATCCCGGGGTTTGGGTGACGGGTTGGGGGATACAATGCACCAGACTTATCGCCAGACACGACGTTATCACAAAGAGCTTCATACTGAAAACAAAATAGACAACTTTAAGATTTCTTTTTCATAAATGAATCGGGATAAGTATTATTTTTAACTTCGGAAGGGTTTTGTTTTTTTATTATAAACGCTATTATCATGGAAGTAGATCCTAGACTTAATCAACAATTCCCTTTTTTTTTAACTGATCTTAAGTCGCGTTCAATATCTGAACGTCAAAGCTCTTCCGCAGTAACCAAAAAGGAACCGTTAATGTTATTCTTTTGAAAATACACCGCTGTGTGACGTGTCACGTGCACACATGGGCATTACGGGAATTAATTTAGCCTGCAACTACTGCATTTGGAATATTAAAAAACGATATAAACTTTCCAAATGGAAATATTTCTAGGAAAACGAAAGACGCTGTTGAATATTTTGTTACAAAGACGACTTACGTAATCTGGTGCGCTACGCTTTGAAATATCCGAAACTTGAATAAAACAAAAACCGAGAACGCCAGTTCAAAGTTGATGTGACTTGATAAACTTATTGGTACACTTTTTTCTTACACTCTTCAGCAACGAGTTGAGTTGAGTTCAATGATAATGTTTCCCTAGTAATGTTTTTTTTTAATATTTTTCTTTTAAAATCTACAGAAAAAATAAATTTTATACACGACGATGAAATATATTCTCGTCTAGTACAACAAATAACTGTTATCGCAAGTGTCAAAATTTGAAACCACATTTTTCGACAACTTTGCTGGTGTTTCGAGTTAGTTTTCGAAAAAATATTGTTTGATATTTAATTGCGAAGTTGCATTTGCATTCTTAAACTTTTTTTACTTGCAAAAAAATCGCCAGTCTTGAATACAAAAGCTATACTTCCCAACCTAGAATAGAAAATAACTATTCTAATTCAGCTGTGTATAGAAAAGAAGTAATTTATTTTAAATATTTTTAGTGTCAACCAATGAAAAACTACTTCCTGCTTTGCGTCCTACTGACGTCAATAGCTAAATATTAGTGCCAAATTAAAAGCTAAAAATACATATCTCCTACGGAAATATGTCTAATAAATTATGACAGATATTAACTTAAACTCAATTAAGTTTAATTAAAAATATAATATACGCTTAGCCATAACAGAGACATTCGCACTTCAGTTGTTATCAAACTGATTTTAAAGCTTTTATTTCGAGCAACAAACAAGAAACGTCAAAGTGATAACTGATAACCGCTTTGATTCTAACTTTGGTGTGATGTTATCCCGACTAAAATTATTATTTAACTGTTTATTAATAAGTACTACTGTGTTAGTTTACTTTTCTTCATTCTTTCGTACTGACTTATTCAATGAATTTGAATAAACACCATTCAAACAGTTGCATTACAAAATACGCAGCTTTCTCAATTTCGTCGATAACTAAATCAAGAGATGAAAAGGGTCATCTTTGACGCAGAATGTTTTTTATCGGACAATTTCAACAACAATCATTAAATGCTTCCAATTAGAAATCTATGTTTTCACAATAATCTGCTTTTTATCAATAATAAGTTCCCTAGAGCAGCGTATTCAGAGATTTATAATCTTAAAAGTAAATGTAGGTGTCTTTTTTGTTCTATCAAATATAGCTAGTTTCAAAATAATCAGAAATATGTGTCTGGTTCGTTTGAAGTTACTTTTTTTGTGAAAGTTTCTCCAACACAATTCAGCAGAACAGTTAATGCTTGTAATTTTAAATATTTGTAGATTATTTATCTTGATTAGCTGTTTCTAGGCGTACAGTGGGTATCAGTGCGTTTATAGTAACGGATATAATCACGATCTGTCGGAAAATTATATACGAATATATATTAAGGCATAGTTTTACCTCCATCTCATGTATATTAATGTAACTTTTTATTAAAACTGGAACTAATTAGGTATCAACCAATCCGTGTACCATTATTCAATAAGTCCTAAATCACTTTGAAGCTGTGCACGATGTGGATTTACATAAAGTTTAGTATCATCTACAAACTGAGGACATTTGCACTGTGTTAAACTGGTTAAAAGTATATTAATAATAGTAAAACCAGTACAGATCCTTGAGGACCACCACTCACAACGTCCAGTGTATCATAATTCAATTCACCACAAAATACTCTGCCTTACAAAAGGTCTCTATCTAGTGAAGTAATTGCCCACGAACGCCAGAATGATCAAGTTTTGCAAACAACCTTCTAAAAGGAACTTTGTCAAAAGCCATGCTAAAATCAAGATATAAAACATGAAATGAATCAGAATGATGAGCTGCTTTAGTCCAATCATTGGCAAATTGAAGTAGATTGGTGGTAGCAGGTAGATTTGCCCGGAAGAAAACCATGGTGATATATAGGGATAACCTTGTTCTCAGTTGCAGTAATGTTAATTTGTTAATATTTCTCTGCGATCGACTTATTAACCCTTTTTTTAAATATACAGGGTGGTCCCGAAGTAATGGGCCAAAATTCATAGGTAGATTCCCCAAGTAAAAATATTGCGATTTAGCCGAACTTACCTTAGTCCAAAAGTTGATACTTAAAGAGATACAGGGTGTTAAATGTAAAATATTATTTCAGTTTTTTTTTAATTTATTCCTTAACAACTGTAAATATCCTCACAAAATTTTGGGGATTGGAGTTCTTTGAGTAGAGGAATTGAAATCTGTTCACATTTTGGTTAAAGTTAATAGAGGGCGCTAGCTGCAGTAGATTGATTGTGTTAAAAACGACATAACTTTTTTGTACTTTAAGGTAACTCATCTTTGGTAACAAATTCTTATTTCTCAACTTTTTTTGCACAAAAAAGGTATACTATACTAAAGTAGGTATCTCGCTCCGTTTTCGAAATATCTGGCTTTGAGACTTCCAATG